ACCATAGCTATTAGTTGAGTGCTTTATGATCTAATTGCCCTTATTAATTCGAATTACTGATGTGATTGTTTATGTATGAAATATGTGTGTGTGTGTCTCTTGGTAAAAAAGAAAAAAAAAAACTGCTCCACTAACAATGAAATTGTAGTCTCAAAAAGCAAGCTAATCGCATTCGTGCGCACAAAACCACATATGCAATTAACCATTGAGTTTAACTCGTATCGATATAGAAAAGAGTTGAACAACAAAAAAAGAGAAATAGCCATGCGCACCATTTCTCTGACAAGAGAAAAGAAAACAAATCATAAAAATATTCATTCACACAGCCGGCACAACAAACCACGACTCATAAAAATGGATTTCTTGTCAATTCACATATTAAAATGAACACACACATGCTATGTTCCTTTGGTTTTGTTCCTTTTGAGGTTATTCGTTGCATCAATATTTATCAATTATAGTAACCTAAAAATAGCCCAAAGCCTGCTGCGCTGATAAAATTGACAGTGCAAAAAATGACGGAATGCACCGACTGTATCAATAAATGCATCATGTACGTCATTGTTCAATTGTATATATTTATGACTGACGGTCAATTGTATATATTTTTGCCGGCGGCAAAATTGAACCGAACAACTACGAATTTAGTTGCTGAAAATTTCACAGTAGCTATAATTGTTTAGAAGACTTAGGTTATATATATTGGGAATGGTATCATTTTTTTTCTTTGGTGCACGCTAAGCCCATTTAACAGAATTTCTTTTGCTGCAGCACAGTGGAATATCAACAAAATTACAAAAATATAGTGTCAAACAATAAAATATTGGTGCGAAATCTAACTGAAAGAAAATTGTTGGTTCCTCTTATTAAATTATTATTACATAAACGGCGTTTCTTGGTTTTCGGTTTGGGAAAACGGTCATCGGTTGAAAGAAATTGAAACAAAAAAAGGATCTGACCCGAGAAAACGACGAAGATCAGAGATCGGTTACGTGTGCAATTGGCTTAGAATGTCGGTGTTTCTTTGACTTGTTTTGTGACCTGAATTGTGATTTGGATTTATCTACCAAATATTGTATTGGTAGTATTTTAACGTTTCATCTCTGTCTTTCAATCTTCTTCATCTCATTCTGTTTCGCTGAAGAGCGGATCTGATTGACAACGATTTAGCAATTAATTTTGTGTGTTGTCCCATCGTGTCTGTGAGTTGTTGTTTCTTTTTTTCTCTCTCTCTCTTTTGTTCGATCACATTTTCCCAAGCATTTTATATGTTTCATCACATTACACCTGCAACAAAACTGTGCCGACTTTTTTCTCAATTTCGATTTATTCGCCCGGATCGGCTCGGTTTTTTTTTGTTACCAATTCCATTTGTTGCGGTTGTGGACATAAACTATCCTCATGGTATTAAAATTGGTGTGCCTTTTTATTTCGTTGGGCTTCATTTTGACTGTCATTGCTGTTGTCGATTCGTTTAAATGACATAATTTATTGAGTCATTAATTTACTTCAGCTTTATGTTTGTGTGTTTCTTTGCCATTGCACATCAAGTAATATTGGCAGCCCTTGAATTTGCGGTATTTTCTTGCAGAGATTGTTTTCAATAAAAAAGGATCGGCATTCCATACTGTCGAGCTAGTTTATGATCCAATCATTCATCACTTTCTGATGCTGAAAGGAAGTGACCGATTTCATAGTAAACAATTAAAATTATACTGATATCGTCCGGTCTATGTCACACACACATTGATAAATATTGAATCTACACGCTAAATCATATGCGCTATCGAAAAGACCACATACGTTTTACTTTGACTTCAAAGAACTCAAGTGACGATCGTTTTTATGATTTTTCATTTTTACTGAGACGCGGCGACAAAACCAATTTGTAATGGACACAAAAAAAACAAAAACGCGTATACATACAACGAAGAATAAGCTAGAAAATGGTTTGAAGTCACTTCCATTCAATTTCATTGAATAAATTCACATTCGTCACGCATAAATGTAACACATGAGCGTTTGTGCCATTCCGAAAAGTTATAAAAATGAAAACATGAATCATTTTTTGTTGTTGTAATTCGTTTTAAATACAACCAGGCCGATTGATAACGACGAATAGGAATCAAATAAAGAAATAATTAACGCACTCTCGCACCAGCTCACATACACCAAATTATAATCTCTTATTTTTATGATTTTTTTTTTGTTTCGAGTAATCGGCTCTTTCTTGCTATATAACACTTGGGCACCGCTTGTCATTTGCGCTTGAATATATCTGATGGTGCGTACAACGTACACGCGTCTTAATTTCACACACAATCATAAACACGTAAAACGGTCTTTGGTAACGATTTGAATGAAGACGAAATACAAAAAAAAAATGAAACAAAATGAGATTAAAATGGAATGAAACACGACAAATGCATACAAAAAAAAAAAAAAAAAAAAAAATCCCAATGCCCGATAACTGTCAATTCCACGCAACGAATATTGGAGTGAAAAGAGAGACCCCGACCGAAAAACCACGGACATTTGAAGAATGCAATGATTATTCAAATGAACTTTTGATAACTTTTTAACACAAAAAACCGACCTTATCGATTCGCTTTTCACTTCGTGCTCTTTTCAACGAGGTTTTGAAGATGAGACCAAGAATGCGATTTGATTTTTTCGTTTACTGGAAAACAGAATGCGATAAAGTTGCACACACGTCCATTTGACGGGACAACAACAAAACGCACGCCTTAGTCTAAGAACATAATTAAATGCGTTGTGGCCCATTAAATTTGGTAATGAAAATCACGATAAACATTTATTTGTTTCAATATGTATTTAATTTCGATGCCGTTGTTGCGCGGCTGTCTTTGGTATGATATTTTCTTGCATTCTTTTTTTTATCATAAACGCACATAAAGTGCTAATGATTAACAAATGGATATGGCTACTTTTTTTTTATTATAACCACAACGAATTTCATAGACAGAATGAGATAATTGATATGAGAGCGCTTGAAGTGCGAACGAGAACGCGGCACCACAACAGAAGAAGAATAAAAAAAAGATCCCCGCAAATGAATACAAATTGTATTGAAATCAGCGGCTAAAACACTCAACGGCGTTATCAGAAAGTAATTAAATCATTTCGTAGATACGAATGTGTCTGTTCAGAACATCGGCTATTCTCAGTTCGTTTCTGTTCAATAGAATGATTGAATGTATACACATTTGTTTCTTTTTGGATTTGAGAGTTTTCGGATTCGTTCTTTTTTTTTTTGTTTTCTTGTCATCGCATTAATTTGAATGAAATTGATCGCATTTCATTAGCAATTGAGCGCACTGATATCAAAAGCATCTTGGTATTCGTTTAGCACCTGTTAGAAGTTAAAAAACTGTTAATGTTTTGGGATCGAAATCGAAACAAAAATGAAACATTATAAGAGGCGCGACAAAACTAAAAATCTAAATTTCGAATGAGAGACAAACGAACTAAAAAAGGCAAATGAAAAGGCAAACGAAAGAGAAGTGATTTAAACGGCGCTTTTATCATTTGTCGATTGATGGTTCTTCATGATAAACAAAAACACATTTGACTACCGGTAACTACTTAATTTTCTTCATTTACTTTAAACCCCGAATGATAAATCGGGTGAATGTGATATGAGTGCGCCCGCTTCGTTTCACTCACTGCCAAATAAATGACTTTCAAATGGAAAAACAGTGTTTTCTCGAATTTTGAACAGAAAAAAATAACCAACCGACACACACATGTACACAAATCGATTGAGCTGTACAGTAGAACATTTTCGACAGTTTATTTATCTACCTGCTCACATGCCACAATTCGAATGCCAAACTAAACATTTTTTTTGTCTCACTTCACACTCAGCATTCGAATTCAGGGAATTTGCTATATCGAAATTAATTGCAACCAGAATCGATTTACAGAAGCCGAATGTAATCTTTAAATTATTAATTTTAATGTCTTTATCACGGGAAAAAACATAGAAAACAATAAACACATTCTATGAAATTCATCGGTTTGCGAGAGATGAGAATCGTTCGCAACTGATAACGTTCGCTTTTTAACACACTAAAAATTCGGAAAATTATTCGCATAATTTACATAACAAATACCGAAGAAACAATCAAACAAGACGACACAAATATTTACATAAGCCATTTCGACCGAACGATGAGAGGGAAGAGAACGAGAGCAGGAGTCTGAGCATTGCCAAAGCATGCAAAAGAATTCGACAAACGATCCCATCAACGGTGTACCATCGAATTTGAATTGTACATTTTCAATTCGTTTTGGAATATTTGTTGATTTTCGGGGGGATTTGTTATGGTTTGCTGCTGTGTTTCAAATGCACAACAACCAACAAACAAATAAATACCACCAGATAAACTTTGAAAATGTATCGCATTTATCCAATGTGCACTATGTGTTTCACACGATATAAGAAGCAAAAGCACACAAAAACCGAGAAACAGAGAAAACAATTCCCGAATTCCGGTAAACAAATTTATTCGCTGTTGAAGACGCTTTTTGAGATCTGTCTTATGCATTGATTGCGCTCTTTTTGTCGCCTCGTTCGAATTTTCAAACAGATACTTAATTTAGTTCGACATTTTTCTTTATACAAAAGACAGGTTGGAAGTGGAACAATTTTTTTTCTTTCGTTTTTCTTTGCATTGTTTTGTGTTTCTGGTTATTTTTTTGTTGTCGATTTTCGTATGTAAATCGTTTGGTGTTTTGTTTATTGAAACTTTTACGGCATTTCCCTTTTTTTTCTATATACATATTTTATATATAAAAATTTATTCAATGGTCTCTGGTGAAAATGAGTTTTCTGATCGCAGTAATCAAACAAATTGCAGAAAAAACATTTTCGATTTTTTTTTTTCAAATTTTTGAACACTTTGACCAAATCGTTTCGGGTTTCTTCAAATAAATTGCACTGATTGAAGAAGAAAGAAAAAATGTGGTGTACTAACCTTGTCCATGATGACCTGCGCCAAAACCTTGTCCAGGAAACATGCCGGGTGGAAATGTTGGCATTTGTCTTGCTCCTGGCCATGGAATGCCACCGGCCGCTCCAATACCATGAAATGCAGCCGCCGCCAATGCGCTGAATGGTGTTGGTCGAATTGGTACATGGCCGCTGAGTGCTGCTTGTGTTGCCATCAACATTTGTCGGGATTTTTCAATTTCACCACTATTTGGCGGTGTCATACTGTTTTCATTTCGTACATCCTCAATGTCGACAATTGAATTGTCATCATCATCGGCATTCGAATCATATTCAATATCTGATTCGGCTGATGCCGAACTATGTGGTGTGTTTCGTTCATTTTTTGTGGTTGAACTTGTTGTGCTGCTCGAATCATTCAATTGATTTCTTTGATGGAGGAGAGCGCTTCGTTGCAATGAGGCTATCGCAAGCGGTGTAATACTATTATGGGCTAGGCTATTCTCAATGTGATGATGTTTTAAATTGATTGGCGATGCTACTGTGGTTATGCTTGGTGATAATGTTGTTGATGCTGGTGATGAGGCTAACGATGATGGTCGTGTATCGGCTAACAATGAGTCCACACTGAAATTGCTTATACGACTCGTCTTTTGCTGTTGTAAAATGTGAGGAACCGTCGGGCTTGTCATGGCCGTGCTAACAGGAGTAACTGTCATACCTGATGATTTTATCATGAATTATTTTGGATAAGTTTGAACTTGATTTCGCTTGATCGCTCCTTTTTTTGTCGCTTTCTATTCGCTACCTCTTTCGATTTGCTCTTTAATTTTTCGGTGCTTTTTTTCGTTTAATTTTCTTTAATTAATTGTATATGCACACAAAAACACCGTAATTGTATTTTTTGTTTTAACAATTCAATAAATCTGTTTGTATATTTTTCATCTCTTTATTTTTTTTCTTCAAAATTTCATTTATTTTGGTGCACTTTCAGTAGAAAACACTTTGCACACAAAAAAAAATAATCTTCTTTTTTGCCGTTGTCACTGATAATTTATTTCAAAATTCGTTTGTTCATATATTTTTTTCTTCCTTTTTTTAATTATAATCGCAATAATTCACTATAACTCAATAAGATTTTTTTTTGTTCGCTCATTCCGATCGAACTGAGAAAATATTTTTTTTTTTTTTTTTCAAAAATGTTCTTCCGTTTACTTGAAGGAAAATCAGAACGAAATTTGAAATCGAAATCGTATCGTTTTGAAACAGGACATAACAAAATGTACGTCTATACGGTTGGAACGTCGCTACGAAACTAAACTAACTGGTTTGGTAGTGCGGCTACACACTTCACGAAATATCATCAAAAAAATACGATCGGCAATCGGCTGTACAAACTTCATTCACATAGAGAGTGAGAGAGAGCGAGCCATTCACGCACATATAAACTCAAATAGAGTTGCACACACGTATAGGCGTTGCATGCACACACAGCTATAGTACAGCAGCAGCAGCATACGATTCGAGAGTGTGGTGCACAAGGGAACAGCAAAACACACATGCTCACATTGATTCGATTGGGCAAAGTGAGCAACCGCATATTAGCAGGAGTTCATTTCGTTTCAGTGTGTTTGTGTGAGAGCAATGTGCACAAATACACTTCGTTTTTCCTTATGTGCCGATTTAGATGGTGAACAGACAGAGAAAGAGAGAGAGACAACTAGAAAGAGAGCAAGCAAGCGATTCGATGTGTGTAACTGAGTATGAAGTGGTGACGGCAAAGCTTATTCTTCTTGTGTTTTTATTAACGCTTTTTTTTTTGTTTGTCTCTTCTACATCTTCATAGCGATATAGTAGCTTATTTGCCAAAACTTTTGGATTGCGCTATTTGAGAAAGTCATGTGCGTTATTATGCAGTTGGAGTAGCAATAAAAATAAGCGACAAGCGGTTCCACTTTCACACAAATACAAATGCACACCGTTGATGTGAATATGTGAGTGGTTTTCGGCACCGACGGCATAATCATCATCGATGGTGTGTACCATCATTATGTGTATTCCCGTGTGTGTCGGGGCCATAGAGTGAGACAGACACAGAGATGGATATTGTGTTGTCGCTGAATGTACACATATGATATACGCCGAATGGGTGTCGATATATGTTCCAAGCGACTGAACTGTGTGAATGGGTCGCTCCGCCTTTCGTTCTTGACGATAATTCGCCATCCAATCAAATAAACAAATTTATTGACGGAAAATTATAAAGGTATATAATTCAAACATTATATAGATTTTTCTTGTTAGTTTTATTTCGACTTTTTCCACTTTTTCTTCTTTTGTTGCCGCCGTTGTCGTTGTCGTTGTCGTCGTCGTCATCATTGTATTTTTCGCCTATGCTATTATAGCTGTTTGTGTCGTCGCGGGCCGTATTCCCTTTTTCTTTGGCATGCGTTTATTTTTCATTCTATTTCAATTTGTGTCGTTCGTACGTCGTTGAATCTTGAATCTTCTGCTTGTGCTTGTGCTGACTCTGGCTGCCGTTTGTTGTATGTGTGTGTGTATTCAACATTAAAACGTATGATGATTTTTTATTCCGTTGCTTTGCGCTCTCTTTGCGATTCAATCAACATTTTATTTGATTTCATGTCTTGTTTCTTTCGCCCATCGTGAGCCAATTGAATTGATTCATTGTGTGAGTGTTTTGTGTGCATTCGGTCTTCATGATATACACATTATAAATAGGTGTAGCATACATTTTGCTGTCGCTGTAATTTTCTTATTTGACACTTTGTATAAAACTAAATTGGATATGATTTACAAGTTAAATAGTTGAATCGAACAAAATACATGACACTCTTTCGAAGCAAATTATTTAACGTAGCATACACACACATACACACACACAAAGTAGTCGCACACCATCTCTCACACGAATTTTCAATGTGCGAACGATTTGTGAGATAGGGATGCATATTCATATACATAAAACGATGATATTAATATTGTATCAAAAACGAGCTGCTGCTACTGTCGTCATCGTTGTTGTCGATGTCGTGTCTTGAATATGCCATGGACAATGGAATATTATAATTTTCACAATGTTGAACAGTTGAAACGTTTTATTGAATAAACAGTTCGCATTTCTCATTCTTATGAATTTTTAAGTGTGTTTTCTTTTGATACTCCTTTTAATAACACCAACCGAACGAAGAGAGAGAGAGAGAAAATATGACGACAACGACAACAGAATAACACACAGAAAAAAAAACAGATTCAATTCGCACGTACGATTGAAGACTATATAGTGTTTAACCAAACTGCTCAACACTCGGGGAATAACGAAATGGAATGGGGAAAAGGCGCAAATTCATTTGCGATAATGTGTATTTTATAATGCGGAATGATTTATACATGATATGACTGCCGTTTATGTGCAAAATGCTATGGTGCAAATTTATTCATGCATTTTCGTTATTCTCTCGCTTGTGTGTGTCTGTTTTTATATTTTCGAAATGGATATTAATTTTTTGATATGTTCTCGTTCTTCTTCCTTCTTCTCGTTTTTTATTCTCTCTTCTTCTTCTTTTTTCGGTTACACGTTGAATTGGTTTTTGTCGTTTGAATGGCCGGGCACGGCAATATGGTTAGGTTGGCGCGATTGTAGCGATTTGTGCGATGCTTTTGTATTTGTGCGCTAGGTATGACAGCCATGAGTGGCAAACACCAATGCGATGCTACCGTAAGCTTACACAAAATGGGGGGAACAATTTTCCGCGATGAAGTATTAAAATTTTGAGAAAGAGAACACGCGCGCGCCCGCACATACAAGAAAAAAAAAGTGAGAAAAAGTGAGCAAAGTGGAAAAAAAGAGCTGACAAAGAAATATTTGTGCAAAAAAAACGAACTGCATATTGACAGCGTAATAACGCTGGGTAAGTCCGTTTCTCTCTGGCAGAGCTCGTACACAGCTGTTAGCATATTCACAGTCGTTTTTTTTCTGTTGCTCCTTCTTCTTCATTGAAGTCCGGTGCGACTCTTCTATCTACCATAGTCACACATACAAACTAACATGTAAATTTAGCTCCCAATATACATGACCAAATAGCATCGTGACAACGATAGCATACAGTGTGTTGTTTGCTTGCGCGCACCATTCGCGTACAATCACCGTACCATAAATTGTTTGCATGTAAATAGAATTTTTCCTCTCCATGTATTCAGTTGAATCTTATGTGCACATGAAAACTCCACAAAATGGGAAATTGAATGCGTACAAGCAATGTAAAACGTTTCGTTTCTATCACAATACTGTATCATTCGTGAATGTACCAATTCTTTTTTTTTCGTATATATCGTTTGGTGCAAAAATTTTACGCTCCTCGAAGCCAATTTACGTTTTTTTTTGTTGTCCTTCAGATTTTATTTCGCGCGCACACACATGCATCCAAGAGAGAGTACATTGTACGCTTCTCTCTTTTTTTGGTGTAGCTGCGCTCAAGTCTTGCCTCTCACCGTCATTTGTCCGTAATTACAATTAATAGGTCAATTAATATGTACCTACGATTGTTCACTCGTCTACATCTACATGCGAATAACGCCATTCTGCTGACAGCACACAGAATTTAACATTTAAATTGCGCTACGTTACGTTCTTATGTGGTGTTGCTGCTGCTTTTTTTGTTTAAATATTAATCTGTATTTTAAAATCTAAACGTATCACAGCAAAGGCCTTGGCTGTGGTACGATGAAGTTTTTGGTGAAATAACAACACTGTACAATGGATGCGGTTTCCCAGGAAATGTTACTAGTGCAACAACAACAACAAAAAAACACCTCGCATAGACATGGTTGTAAGAAAAATTAAAAATTAAAGAAAATAACATTTGCAAACGTAAAACTCGAGGAAGGGATATTAAATTTGAGCTCATTTTATTGCAAAATTATGAGCCATTTTTAACCAATTCAATGAATTGTTCAGAAAAATGCAATTTCCTTTGCTCACAAATTAAAATAATCATGAATATTGTTGAAGGCATTTGTTGCAAAGCAAAACGATTTAATTGCTGAAGCAGCAAGTCGTTAAACTGTGGAAAAATGTGCGCGGTTCTGTTGTTGTTGGTGTTTTTTTTTTTCTTCGTCATCATCAAATTGTTAATTCGAAAATTGAGTTGTTGCAAATACAACCGAAACGAAAGGTGAACAAATTGCTTAAGTAAAACAAAATAGTGAGTTTTTTTTCCCTTCCTTGGACGAAAATGTTAATTAACAAAACATACCATTTATTGATGCGATAACGAGAAAAGAAAATTATGCATAAATCTGTGAAGATGGAGAGCAAGGGAGAGAGAGAGGTGGCTAGAAGAAAGCATCGCTGTAAATGCGATTTGTGGTCAACCGTTGCGAATGCATAGCCACAACAGCCCACTAAGATGAGAAACACACTGGTTGTTGCACTGGCGAATAATAGGAAATTAAATAAAACAAAGTCAAACAAATCATAAAATCAACGTCGTGCACATATTTAGATTGGCTCGTTTTTGCTAACAGCCATGTATATTTGCTCATTAATTAGTGCTTGTTTATACACGATGGGCGATAATGCAATACAGTTTGCAAATTGTCAAATAAATTCGAATGTGCGAGAAACCAAAAAGAACAGTCTCACACACAAAATAATATGTATTTAGAGTGTAAATATGTTATTTATAAGTATTATTGTCTTGTTTGACATGCGCAACGCATTTGAAATCGCATCGAACGGTTAATGCGTTTTCGTTGCCATTTGCCACTTATCGATTTATCTTCTTCCAGCCGAGAAATCGTGCATTGGCTATGGTGTAAATAATAATAAAAAAAAAACACTGAATGACCCATTCGGTAGCCACTACGATGCTACACATATGCCATACCAGCATTGAATTAAGACAAAAACACTCAGCATAATATTATTTACACAACAAGTGGTGTGTATATACCACTTCAACCAATAATCAATTTAATTGATTTTTCTCAATCAAGCATAAATTGCACATTTTGTCATTTTCTCGTTTGTGTGATATTTGGTTATACGCGATTTGAGCGTGGATAAAGCTTATTACTATTTTCTTGCCATTTAGTTTTACAACTTTTTCTCGTTCGGATAAATGTATAAGGTTTTGTCGTAGGTTTGTTTGCATTTTCTTCGATTATGGTATTATGGCATATGGAATATTATTTGCAACATTCCTGACGCGTCAAATCCAGTGTATACACACATTATTTAAATGGATATTGAACGGCGCAGAAATTTTCTCTTTCC